TAGTTATTAATCTATCACCTTTAGCTGTGTGAATTAAATCAAGATCGAGGACCAACCCAACATATAGTGAATAAACTCTTCAATATAACAACTTTACCCTTTGGGATGGGGAGTTAGAAGGGGTTGGGGAGGGAGGGGCAAATGGGAAGAAGGATAGGGGAAGGTTAGCAGTGTGGCCAGAGGACACAGGTGAGAATGAAAAAGAGAATAATAGGAAAATAAAGAAGAACTCCAAATGAGGACCAAAACAGGGACAAAAAAGGAAGATGAACAATGTGGGAGAGCAAGAGAGTGAATGTAAGAGAGAGAGAAAGGAAAGAGAAGAGAAAGAAGAAAAGAAAAGAAAAAAAAAGGAGAGAAAAACAAATATTTGCAAAGAGTAGAAAAAAATTAAAGATAAGAGGAGCAAAAGAAAAGAGAAAAAAACAAACTAATAATACTAATTTTGGGAATAAAAAATAACAATGAAGATGAAGGACCTCTTTCAGGATATGTCTCTGCTGTCAGAATAGACATTGTGGGTAGCAGTATGCGATATAAGTCAATGAGTCTCAGCAAGCTAGTTGCAGACCCGTGAGATTCAGGCAGATTTCTGGCTGCAAGTCCCAAGTTGAGCTCCCTGTCTTCCTGTAGGGTTGAACTCTGCAGATTTGTATTGCAGGTTCCAGCTGCCCTTCCCCTGAAGATAGTCCCGGTCCTGATGGGAGGTGAAGATGACTCCAACTTACCCAGTACAGTGGTCTGGTGGTCCAGTGTCCTCTGCGTCTTTGTAGTGTGGAACCAGGTGGCTGTACATAGAAGAGGCCAGAGAAGAGGGGGGTGGGGGTGGGGGTGTCCAGTGGATTGCTTCCCGGGGCGCGGGCTGATTCGGCATGTTCGGCGCTACTCACGACCTTGGTACGGCATTGGTAGACCTGCCTGTCTGCAGTGGGCTGATTCAGCGTGTTCGAGAATATACTTTAAAAGGCCTGCAATCCTTTTGAGTGGTGCCATCCACAGCAGAGTAGGACTTCCATTATCCACACCCAGATCTGTGCTAGACCAATTTAGTTATCACGCACTTTTAATCCCAGTATCACATCCTAGATCCAGCTACCTCCAAAAAGTTCCACCTATGGGGGCATGAGGCTTCTTGGGGACATCTAGACACAAGCCATAATATATACTTAATTTGATTTCTCATTTATCTCCAGGCTTTCCAGCAGTCAATTCCAAAAGAAGTATTTAGGAAGAAATAACTCTATGTACATAAAACAAAGATGGGTCTGCCCCTTAGGAAAAGCACAATATGTCAAAGACAAAGACCAAATAAAGGTTGGCAGAGATTCACTAATTTGATATAAAATCCCAACTGAAAACACCAATAATAGATACTATAATCAATAGTCAAAGCCAAACTGACTTCCTCTTCTGGCATAATTTATTATTCACCTTTAAGTTTTATTTTCTACATGTTCCTTAAGTTAAAACATTATTCTTAAGCCAAATGGAAATGTATTGGATAATACAGACAATAAGTACAGAAACTGACCTTTGGTTTTCAAATTTTAAACCCCTAAATATGTGAGTTGGCTGATCAGTGAGGGGTGGGGGAGACTGGCAGCAAAAATGTCTAGATGGTTCCCATGTATGCCTTTTAGAAAGAATATATGTGTATTCTTTGTATTTCTTCAGATATATGTAGGTATTTAATAGAACTGGGAAGATCACATTCTTAAAGAATTATTTTCCCTTTTGAACAATGACATAAGAGATTTATTTTTATATGGAATCTTTTTTTATGCCAGAATCAGACTTCTGCCTCAGCTTGTATTTGTTGATATTATTTATATTTAGTTTATGAAAAGAAAAAAAGAAATACAGCACTGAGCGGAAGAGTGTTTCCTTCTGCCTGCTCACCTTGACTACCACCATGCCAACTGCTCTAGCTGCTGGCTCCTCAGGATTAGTCTCTGCTTCAAGCCCCAGGAAGCCCGTTTACTATGTTAATGGCAAGAACTTGCTAATGTGGGCGTGTGAAATGCATCCTTGGAAAGGAATGCTACCCATCCCAGGAAGTCTTCAAGAAGGCTTGAGTTCTTGCCATAACTAAAATCTGATGATGTTTTATGGATAACTTTATTTCCACATGCCACATGGAAGCTAGCTGCCTGTTTCCATAATCTTCATGGAGAATCAAACCAAGAAAAGACTAATTTGGAAATAATATGCAGAAGAGAAACTTCATTTTCTCTTTTGAATAAAATGAAGGAACCAGTTTAGGTGACTACAGAACAAAAATCAAGTGAACCCTGGCAAGGGCCTAGGGTTCTCCCACAACACTAACAGCAACTGCAGAATGCTTGACAGGAAGGAAAAATGAAAAAGTTGCTAACAGTGGGTTTTGCTGGGGCTCATTAAAGAGGAATGTAGAGATTAAATATACTCCTCCTGCACAAGACTCCTGCAGCTGAACAGTCCTAATACTTGAAACCTTATTGTGAGTCCTAGTTTTCTCCTTAGAAAAAGGGAAATGTCCCATTCCAGTTGATAGTAGCCTCCTTCCACTTGGTTCTGATGGCCATTTCCGCTGGGGAACAGCGTCTGCCTGTTCTGTGTTTATCTTCGTGTTGATCCCTTTCCCAGTGATGGGCATGCGTATCTGAGGAAGGAACATGGCACATTTACACCCAAGCCTGTCACACCATTCCTGAGGAAGCCACTACAGAAAGAGGAAAGTGAAGGTGGGCAGGAGTTGAGCTCAGCAAACTGTAATCCTAGAACTGGTTAAGAAGAGGGAGATCCCAGCAGATGCTAAGTGGAAGTTCCCCAAGTAAAAGAAGTCAATGACAACCTGGCTTGCTTGTACTCAGATGTAAATTTTGTGTGTGTGTGTGTAGGGGGGGTCCAACTCAGCACCTTGTGCTTGGGAGGCATGTGCAGTGTCACTGAGCTAAATCTCTGGCATCAGATGTGAATATTGATAAATCATTGAATGCACCTTATAGTACCATGATGTTACATGGAAGACCAGGTGTTGTCATGAAATGTCAGGAAAAACAGGGGAAGGGAAAGCTCCCACTTCTCAAGGCTTCTAAGAGTGCATTTGCATTTTTGAGTACAGTATGAGGCATTCTAGTGAGATAATTGAGCACAGGGCTGGAGGCTCAAGTTTGTCTCATGTGAGCCAGGTGGCATTTGAGAAGGTACTTGCTCCTACCATTAAGTCTGATTTATTCAATTGGTAACTATTTATTGGGAGCCTCAGTTTCCACTGTGTAAAAATAGATACCATAGTACCCACTTCATATGATAATTGGGAATTTTTTGTGTTAATGGACATAAGGCTTTCCTCTGCAGTGCCCAGAACAGAACATGTGGGAGGCTTGTGATCAAATAAAAAAGGATGCCTTCCTCAAAGAACAAAGTTGAAGTAGAAATGGTAATATACTTTAAAGAATATTTTTCCAATGTCACAATAAATTAAATGGGCTAATATGTATTTCTTATGATTAAAAAAATATTTAGGGGCTGCATAGATAAAATAGTCACTAAGATACTTTTCCAACTGCAGTGACAATAGCAGACGTGATGTAACACCAGGCTTGTGATGCTAAATGCAAATGTTAGACAGTAACCAGGCTCCTTTATGGAAGGAACCAAAACCAGCAGGTACAAACTACCAACCTATCCACTTTTAATACCTTGCCAAAGGGACCAGTGTTTAAAGACATCTTAAAGTTGGTTTTTATTTCCCCTCATGAGTTTTTAAAACTGTAATTTTAACTGAAATGAAATGAACTGTTGGCTGTCTGCCTCTGTCATTGGCCTGGGACCTCCTAAAGATTTGCTTGGACTGTGCCTTATTCAGTGTGGCTTCTCCAGGGTGTTAGTCCGTAGTGGACAATTTAAAAACTGTTCTTTATATGAACTAGAGCAGAAATGGGTACTTTTATCATGGGACAATAGTCTGGTATTTTGTTGTGTGGTAGAATTGGCTCATTGGTATTCCACACTCCCCTTTGTCTTTGCACACCTTTCCCCAGGCATTAAATACCTCCTGCTCAAACATAAAAGGCCTCCCGAGAAGGCTTTCTGGAAATTTGACTCTTCACCCTTTGTTTTTCTCTTACCTAAAAGTTGTTTGTTTTTCTGTTATTTCTAACCCCTAGCCTGCTTCTTTTAAAAGCAGGTTTAGGATTCCCACATTACAATGGCTGGGTTTAAAGCCATGGGATTTAGGCATGGGCTTCACTTCAGAAACCAAGCCCAAACATTTTCCTGCAGAGCTGGCAGCTGGTAACAGCAGCGGCGAGTCTCTGAGCACATTAAGACACGCACTCTTGGAGTCTGAAATGCTCACCTATTGTAAGATGCGCTGGCTTTCCCTGTGAGGGCTGGCCACTGTAAAAGTACAGATCAAAGAGATGCTCCATTTTCCAGTCAGATAAGAGCTCTCTGTTTGTGCAAAAAAGGATGCTGTAATTTCCATTGATGTTGCACAGCCAAATAGGAAATTTAGGAGTCTTCAGCATGCTGCCAACCTGCAAAGGGAGAAGGGAATCAGAGAAATATATAGATTTTGCTGCCTTGCAACAGAGGTTGATATAACATCGTGATAAAAAGCAGCTCTGAGGCTTCCTGTTGCCTGAGTAGCTAGCTGTGCAGTGCATTGGACTAAGGGTAAGATTTGAAACAAAGGCCTCATCATAAGTGAATTTGCATTTATGAATTGTGTGGTATAATGGTGATGATATGTTTTTTCTCCTAATGGATTATATATATGTGTGTGTGTGTGTGTATGTATGTATATATGTGTATATATATGTATATTTATATATATGTGTGTGTATATATATATATATTTTTTTTTTTTTTCTTTTTGGTACTGGGGATTGAACTTGGGACCTTGAGCTTGCAAGGCAGGTGGCAGAACCACTGAGTTAAATCCCTGGCCCAGATTATATTTTTAAAAAATATTTGATGGCCTCATGGAGGGGATAGAGAATTCTTTTTGGTTTTAAATTGAAGTAAATAAGTACACTGAAAGTGTAGGAATGAAATAATCCCCCTTTGCCATTGACTAGTGTATTTGATCCTATTCCCAAGGTAGAGAAATATTTCATTTAGCAAATGGTCAAAGTGGCAACATTAACTGTTTAAACTATAGAAAAAAAGATGTTTAGAATTTAGGAAAAAGTTTCTGGGAAATGAAGGAAATAAACATATGTACACATATCTACAAGTTAACAGACCAGTTGTGAAGATGTACTTGAAACATACTGGCTTAATATTACATACAATATTAAGTTTAGTATTTTAATCAACTTGTTGTCTATTTTTCCTGGCAATTGTCACTTCATCCTTGAATTCTCATACCTAGTAAATCAGATTCACAAAACTACTACTCTGGAGGGCCAGGGAGTAGAAGGGCAGTGGTACTGAATCAGTAGCCCTTGGAGGTATCATGATATTATAGTACACATCTTCCTTTCTATTTTAATGCTTTTTGAGATGAGATCTCCCTATGTTGCTCAGATTCACGATCCTCCTGTCTCAGTCTCCCTACGAGCAAGTGTACATGACCATGCCTGGCATTATAATGCATTTCTATAAATGGTATCTATCATTTTGTTGAAAGAGGAAGGAAAATACATCTTTAAAAGAACATTTCACAATTCATTAAAACATTTTTTTCCTACTCAAAGAGATAAACATAAAGTATATGGAAAATCCCATGCACCATGCCAAGAACTGCTACTGGACCCTTTGGCTTGGTTTCTTCCTATCATGGAATAATCCAACATTATTATGTTGTTTCTTGTCTTCTTAGTCCTTAGAGCTATACTGTTTGTTCAGGAACAAATTCTGTTTCATGGAAAACCCAGTTTTGAAAAATTATCACGTGCTTTGTGAACCCAAGTGTTAAAGGCTAATAACTTGACATTTTGTTTTCTCAATTTCCATTCAAGTCTTTTCTTTTTTCTTCAATTTAGATTCTTCAGTTATGGGTGAATGGGTAAATCAGAGGTGCTTCTGTCTTTAGCTCCATAGACAAATTATGTTACAGTGCTTGAAAGAAATGACTTAACCTTAGCAGGTAGTATATAAAAAGGTGCAAGCCCAGCACCCCAGTCAGGACTTGATCCTAGTGAATACGCATCTAGAACCCTAGAAGTAGTCCTTCTTGGCTGAATATCTCATATATGAAACATGGGTCAAGTCTGCCTACTAGCTGTGAATGAAGTGAAACAGGATGTCCCATTGAAGCATCCTCTGTGTTTGAGCTCCAAACATCCACCTCCAAGTTCCAAACAACATTGTAACCATCCATTAGCACAAGCCCATTCTTAAGCCTTCTTCTAATGGAGCCCCCTCTACTAAGATTATATGTAATAGATATATAATATGCCAGACATGGAATTATTAAGGTTGGAAAATTTGGATAAGCTAAGTATGAGGTTGATGGCTGTTTTTAACAAGATGTGATTCCATTTGAACTTCAGGTGGATCTTCTGGTCAATTTAAAATCAATGAAAGTTCCGATAAATTAAATCTGGATGGAGGAAATAGAATGTACACATATAAAATATTGTTTCACAGAATATTTGTAAAGTAGGCAAAATTCAACTGACACTCAGATTCACACGATCTCCTAGGTGCTGACACCACATTGTTGTCACTTTATGCAACGATGCAACGATTGTCTTTCCTGAACTCAAAGTAAGCAGGAGGAAGATGAAGCATTCAAAATACAGCCACCTCCAACCCCCAGCAGTGACCAGACAGATATCACGCTGAATTAGTGGAGTGTTGTCTTCCTTGAGAGACTGTAGTGAAAAGGGAAATGTCGTGCATGGCTGTAATGACACTTTGGGTATTAACTTGAGGAGATAAGCTTTGAGATTATGGCTGAGAACACATCTGGTTTGAAGTGAGTCCTACAAAAACAAAGCAAAGCACCTTCTGACTGAATTTAGTCTGCTGTCACACTCCCCACTTTTCTTGGCACACCACATAAGCAATTTGACTGGAATATTTTGTTTTAAGAATTTGTATTACTTTTGGATAGACACAGTTTACCAGCTATCCTCCAAAAGCAGGATTCTAAATACGTTTATTGGTGAGATTCCACCAATTTTGAATTTGTGCATGTTGCCATGGTAAAAAGGAAATTAAATTGTGATACAGTGGTGCTATAAATAAAATATCTCTCTCTTTGGGTTCACTCATTGTGTAATAAGCCCAGTAGTTTCAGTATTGCATCCAGCAAGCAAGTCTTTCATAACATCTATCCTTTAAGTCAATGTAAAATTTGAAGGATTGGAAGAATGGACAAATTCTACACACTAGAGGGCAGGAACTCAGTCCATGTTATTCTTTTTTTTTAATGCTGTCTAGAACAATGGCACTTAGAACGTGCCTTTGCATAATGAGCTTGATATTGCAAATCTCAAGGCCCCAAGCTGTTAATTTGAATGAGAGAAAGGTGTTGGAAACATGTACTTTTCTTCCCCATGTCCTGGTGACAATTACCACGCATAAATGTTAATGGTCTGGCTCTTGTCTCCACCACCTGGAACAGAGAGTTGATGCAACTTCTCTCACCAAGTTTGCAGGTATGTTGTAAAGTCAAAATAGATCATGCTTGCAGGGCGCAATCTCAGTGAGTTTGTGGCAGAGTGCAGTAAGTGAAGCTTCATTTGGTACTTTTAAGGTTCCTATCAGGCTCTCCAAAGGGGAAATGTAAAAAGGGAAGAAGGCACCATGGGGATGGTGGTACATGCTGCCAGAGCTGCCGTGGGAGTGATTCTGGTGAGACCTAAATGGCTTTAGTCCCTTCTAAAAATCAGAGTTGATTTCTCTTCTCAGTGGCAGGTGTGAAGATAATGTGAACCTCCTAAGGCTTTCCAGATGGTGTTAGACTCAAACTGCTTTATGTTCTCACTTAGGTATTGGAACCTCACACTCAAACCTGTACCTTCAAATAGAAAAGTAACACGGAGGCTTCAAAACAGTGCCGTGTCTTGCAGGTAGCTGGCTGTGTTCTGCAGGAAGTGTCAGTCTAGTGGGCTCTGGGGGGCTTGCTTATGTCATCTAATGAGAACTCCATTTTCTTTTTCTTTTGAATCTCGCCCACAGGGCTGTGACCCTGGGACTGAAAGAAGTGTGTTTTTGCAGCCTCGGCAATTTTATCACAGAGTAAAAAGAGATTGACTTAGGAAAGACAAAAGCAGCCTTACAGGATAGGTTTCACCTCAACAACACAATCTAGCTGTCAGGCAGTGCGTACCACAGGTTTTCTTTAGAATTCAGAAATCTTTCTTATATTAGATTGTTATTATCAGTGCATACATATACTATTCAGGTTTATCATACACACCCTAGACAGGAGCTACTAAATACCCATAAGCGCCTACCTACAGTTGCCTATCTACAGGTCCTGTACAGGGTCACTTTGCCTTGGAACAGAAAGTAAGGGTAGTGGCTGCACAAGGTCTTCAGTCCAGCCATATGGAGAATACTGTTTTGGAACCACATCGTGGTTATTCTCGAGCAAACTTCTGACCTGTAAGGTGTTTCAGTTTTATGCTAGGATTGTGGAATATTAGACTTCTGGGTCAACTGCAGACCAATCAGGTAGTTCTGCTTAGCACATCTCTAAGCCCCACTGAGTCAAAAGTTTCACACACCTGACAGATGTCACCTGCCAAACCAGGAGCCAAGGGGAGGCAAATGTTTTAGAGAGTGTGTGCCCTAAGTACCCACAGTTCACAATCAGCGTAAACTCACAACTGCTTTAACCTACAATTCAATGGACAAAGTCCTAGTTTCTTAAGCACAACTATCATGCATTCTAAAATGTAGTCATGATTTGCCACCATCTAAATGCTGAGGCTCAACATCAGTATACCTACAACAGATTATACAATATAAATCTACATCTATAGTAGATTATTAAAGAGCTGATGATAGAGTATAATTCCAAGAACTGGCATTTATATATTTATAATTTATCAGAAAGTGAGCAAAGATATGATCAGAAGCATAGCGCAGTGCACAGTGTGTGAATTTTGAGTGTGGAGAGAACGGGGTTCATAACCCCAGCTCCAACACTTACCTAGATGGTGGCTTTGGGCAGGTTCCTACACCTGCTTTGGTCTTTTTATCTTTAAAATCAATGACCATGAAACAGATCGGATTTAAAGTAACACTGCTTATAACTTTGAGTAGAGTTGAGAATTAAATATGGTATCATTGCAAGTAACTAGCAGAAAGCCCTGGCCCATGGTAGGTGCTTTGTTCACAGGCATATTAGTGCTACAATGAATGAACACCCTTCACATTTATACTTCCATTAGTTACCATCCATTAGAGATGGTGAGAGACAGTACATATGTGTATATGTGTAAAATTAGATTCCTTTTATCCCTTGAGATGGGGATAGGGATTAGGGATTGCTTTTATCCCAAAATAATGAGGTGATATGGAAAGAATAAAAAAGTGTCTTCAGGTAAAATCAACTTTGTATGAATGTGTTTAACATATTCATATGTCTCAAGAGTTCAAGTAGGAAAATTAACCATCAGGCAGTAGTTGCTCTTCAGTATTTTTTTTTCTGAAACCAAAATCCAAATGCACGATAGAGACAACACAATAAATATCCTCAGGGTTTCAAGCCATTAGTGTACTATTTCAGGCAATTTTCACTGAGGGCAGGATTCATAGGTATCTCCCTGGGGAGAGAGCACTGTGTCCAAGAAAGGAGGATGAAAAGCCACATTAGTTACTTTCTGAAAAGCTGGAGGCAATGTAGATTTTATTTCTATGTAGATTTTAAAGCCTTCCTGGGCAGTTTCCATCTTCTGTCCTACTTCTACTTGGTGAGCAAGCCTTTGGATGGTGGTCCTGGGAGCTGATACAGATTGTTCTTCCTAGCGGGAAGTTCTTATTTTTTTACCTTGTATGGTGACCTCTTGACTAACTCTAAGGTTCTGGCAAAGATCCTCTTTATTATTACAGGATATGTTAGACTCTGCAGGTAATTTTCTGTAGAACATAATTTAGCAGTTTGTTGGTCTGAGCTGATTTTGTAGCAAAAAATGTGATCCAGGGCAGAATAGTTGGGCTGGATCCCTTGACTCTGGTCTCTCTTGGCACTCTCTCTCTTTGGTGACTTGGTCTCTGTTATAGCCCCTTACTCAGAGCAACTTAGTAGCTATTTCACAACCCCCTGCTCAATTTTAGCTTAAGATAAAGCCTGAAACTTGTCCCCAAAGTCTTGCAAATATTAAAAAGCTGTCAGCCTTTTCTGATACTGATTGAAAGAAGGCAAACTCTTAGCATTCAGTTGAGAGATGGTTCTCCAGTTGTGCACATCATGGATTTAATCACCTCAGCCTATAGATTTAATTTCCTTCTTTCTTTAGAACAGTGATTCTCAATCACATAGTAAATAATTTTTAACAATGTGGAACTCTGTGCGATGGCATGTCCCACACTCACGAAGCTGGCACATAATATTCAAAGTTCTCCAGGTAAGTTCAGTGCACAGCCAGGTAGACATCACTGCTTTCCAGCATGTGTCACCTACATCCTTTTACGGCAAACAATGTATGTTCATGTCTGGCCCAGGTATGGGTCCTCTGTATTTGGACACACAGACTCCCAATTAGTAGGTGCGGGTGAACATAGCTGAATAATGCACTGGAATATTATTCCTTGTTACCATCTATCACAAAGCCTTTTATATGCATAGAATATTTTGGCTGTTCAAAGGGCTCCAGCATTCATGATTTTGTTTGCTCTTCACCTCAGTCCTATGGTTGTAGGGCAGGTGCACACAGATGAGGAAACAGGCCCAGAGAGGGAGAGTGATCCACTCCTGGAGTGGCAGGGCAAGTCCTCCAACCAAATCTGCTGATTTCCAAGCCATGGTTATTTCCCACAGGCTGAAAGAACCTCCTTCCCTGCACACCACATTCCCAAATGTGGGATGTGTGCCTACTGGTGGCACAGGGAATAAACTTTAAAAAGCAATGTTTATTCACTTCCTGTGTATTATAAAAAAAAAAGCAGCACAGCAAGCACATGGCTTATATTACTACTGCTTTAGAAAAGGTTAGGTCCAAATTTTAAACATGAATTGATTTTTTAAAAATAGCAAGCAAATGATAGCAGAGGTGGTGCAGAGACATGACAAAGCCTGTGAAGTATTTAATAATGTTGTGAAAGAGCTTTGGGGCAATAGACAAAGCACTAAAACTATTGACATTTTGTGCCCCCATCCCTTGAAACTTGGCTCAGTGTGTCCCTCCATGTGTCTCCAAACTCAATGTTGCCACATTGCTGGGCTCTGACAAATACAGAATGCTAGACCATGTATAGTTGAAAGAAAAGAAAAATCTGTAAAATAAAATCTATAAATCTCCTATTTCTGGCTTCATTTTCTTCTTTATTATATTTATGAAATTCTAAGATGATTTCCCAAATTTTCTGCAAAAAGGTGATTAGGGAGTTTTTAACAATAACAAATCCATTTTCTCTCCAGGATGTATTCAGAGCACAGACATTCACATTTGTAGGATGGAACTCTTTGCATCCATTAAATAACAGCAGAGGTCAGGTACTCATTGACATATAAAGATATTTGTGTTGAATGTGAAAAGCAGGCTTCAATAGAGTGAATAGGAACTTTATATAAAGAAGAAAAGAAGGCATTTCTGAAAAGATTGACTGCTGGGTGATGTGATTGGATTAATTTCTTTCAGTTTATCTGTCACTTCTCATTTTTTTTTGTATGATGAACATAGATTACAAACTCAAGAAACAATAAGGAAACATTTATGTATTTATTTTTTTGCAGTACTGAGGATTAAGCCCAGGACCTCCAGCATGCTAGGCTAGCTCTCTATCACTGAGCTATATCCCCATTCCTCTTTACTTTTTTCATTTTCAAGACAGGATGTTTTTGCAAATGGGAAGGGGACCAAGAGATACAGGAAGGGAGAGGTAACAGAGGAGAAGGGGAAGTAAAAAATATTAAGATGTGTTATATACATCCATCAACTCCTCACAACAAATGTAATCATTATATACTGCAAATGTGTACTGATAAAAGTAAAAAATATTTTAAAAAGACAGGTTCTTGCTGTCTTTTTAAAGTTTCTCAAGTTGTGACTGTTCTGATGATCCTCCTACCTCATCCTCCCTGGTATCTGGAATTATAGGAATGTGCTTCTATGCCCAGCTAATAAGGAAACATTTAAAACACTGTACACAAAATACATCAATTCTGCCAGAGTGGGCACTATTATCTCAGTAACATTAGGCATACATATGAGATGCTGATTTTGTGAAAAACACATAGTAACTGGACATTAGAGTAGGAGAAAAGACAGCTACAGTTGTGGATATGAAGGTGCTTTGTGAACAGTGAAGCCCTATACACCCACAGGATATTTTGAGGTGGAACCAGGAGAGCTAAAGGATCCATAGGTGCTGAACAGTCACCCTTTTTTTTTTTGCTGGTGGTGGTTGGAGATTGGGCAGAGGAGGCATCATCTCATCTAGTGAATTCAGTCTCAGCTGGTTTTAAAGCCACTCCCGAGAAGTATGGCTTTCCACAGAATCGGCCTTGACTACCCTGGGTTTCGGGATGAAAACTTTTGTGAAAGTATCACAGAAGCAGCTTTGCTTTGTGGTGTGGGGTGAGTACATTTGCTTTCTTACTCACCCTCCTGTTTGTTTTTGCAGGATCACATCTTACTTAGTTCTCTGGCTGTGATTTTCAACAGCACATTTTACTTTCTGGTTGTCAGAGGTTATAAACCTCCTGAGAGGAAAATATGTTTGACAGAAGTTTCCTAAGTGAGGCCCTCTTTTTTCATTATTCTTTTAAAAAGCTCTCAGTGCTATGTAGAATATATGCATTAATTTGCATAAATAAAGAATTGGGAGGCCACCTATCAGCTGACTATATTTATTTCTGAGAAGGGAATCTGCAGTTGCTTGGGGATGAAAGGGGACTTTCCTTTTATCTGTGTATTTCAGATATGGTTTTTTGTTTTTTGGGGTTTTTTTTTGCGGTACCAGGGATTGAACTCAGGACCTTGTGCTTCGGAGGCAGGTGCAGTGCCACTGAGCTAAATCCCTGGCCTCAGATACTGTTTTTAAAAATGTTTTTACATATTATTTGTATTACCTATACTCTATATACATTAAAATATGTTAAATTAAATATGAAGCAAATAGACTTGGACATTTCTGTTCAGGCCCTGAATGTGGATGTGGGGACCCTGGAACTCCCCCGCTGATCTTATTGCCCTTCCACCCTTAACATTTCTTTTCAACACTGGTTTCCATTGTTGTGATTTAAGCAAAGAGCTAAGATACTGCTATAGCACTTCTCTTTCTGTTATTAGTTTCCTGGTGAGTTGTGGGGGGGGGAGTGGGGGTGTAATGGATTAGAGGTATTCAGAAAGGCAGTAAATAAACTAGGAGGCTCAGATTTAGACTGCCTTAATATAGCCTTTAAAAATGTCAAAAATATTGACATTCTGGTTGAATAGTTGAGAACCAGAGCACACTCACCTGTGAGAATCTGTCGTCCCCAGAGTTGTCCTGACCCCACTGCAAATAGCCAACATCACTGCGGGTCAGGATTCCATGTAAGCTCTCTAGAGACTTTCCCTTCTCAAAGCCATTGAAGACATTTGGACCTTCTCTTCCAGTTAAAATCATGTTCAGAACTGCCTAGAAGACATATTTTAGAAATATTCACCTTTTAGGTAGCAGTGAACAAGAACTTGTTTTCTTTTGAAAATTATTAAAATGATCATTTTTTTACTGAAAAGAATGAAATCATGCAATACATAATTCTGGGAAAACATATGTCTAAAGCACTTGATAGAGTTAAAACAATAGTTTACTGACTTCTTGTGTTTTTTTTTTAACTTACCCTGGAACTCCCCCTCTGATCTTATTGTCCTTCCTTAACATTTCTTTTCAACACTGGTTTCCATTGTGATTTAAGCAAAGAGCTAAGATACTGCTTTAGCACTTCTCTTTCTGCTATTAGAGTTTCCTGGTGAGTTTTGTCAGGATATGTCCTAATGTTTTTATACTATCAAGAATATGGGACTCTCAGAAGTAAATTAGAGAAGATTATAATGAAAATTTGGAGGTAGATTCTAATAACCCAAAGTAGCATCTTCTTAATCTTTCAAAGATAACTTGACACTCTGTGCTGAAGGAGTGAATGTACTTACTTAGAAAACAATCCTAATTCAGATTCTACTATAGAAAGGCAGAGTCTTCCCACTCACCTGCCTGCAGAGGAAGCCTCCAGCATGTGGCTGTAACAGATGAGTGGTGGTGACATCCAGATCCTTTTGAAGCCTGCAGAATGGGAGAAGCTATCAGCATCCATTCAGAGAAACAGGAATGTGGGCTCATGGAGTCACTGTTCCTCACACATGCCTTGTACATTTCCACAAGGACTCAGGCTGCAGAAGTAATGGGGAAACTATGGATGCCCATGGGGGAACATTGATAAATGGTAAGAGAAAAGATGCAAACATCTCACACTCTAGAATCCCTGTGTATGAGCTCAGGTGAGACCCTAAGCTCTCTAGGAGTTTTTGGCTCTGTGTGGCAGGGATCCTGGGCTCAGGGTGGTAACATATGACCACATAGAGAATGCTAGCCCAGGGCAGAGCTGAACAGACTGTTCACATGGAAAACACCAGAGTGGCTGTTGAGCCCATTTCTTGACTGCAGAGGGCAGGGGCTAGGGGCTGGAGTCCTATCCTCGAATATACAAGGTCCAGGTGGAATGTGCTTCTTGTTGCATGCAGAAGGAGCTGCCAAGTACTGATATGGAAGCTGTATATTTTTTTTTATCAGTTTATGTTTTTGATACATAATAATTACATTCATCTTAGAGAACTGGCACATATACATATCACATCTTAATCACTTTTATTTGTCCTTCCCCTCTCCACCCTCTCTTTTCCCATCCCCCAATTCCCTTCCTATCTCCTGTATATGTTCTTGACTGAATCTATTCATCAGACTGGAGGTCACGTTTTTCTGTGAATAACACCTAAGAACTTGGATCAGGATTGGTACATGCCTTGATGTTATGCAGTATAACTCAGGGCAGTGTTGCCCAAAGTATGGCATGATTTTAGATGGCATAGATATGATCATTTACAAATTTTAATAGTGACATTTTTATTTTAGATGCATTTGATCTTTTATTTATTAATGCTCAGGAAGACATTCACGTATAGAATGTTGTTTGGAACAGGTTGATATTTAAATGTATGTTGATTTAAAAAAATTGTTGAGCAAATAATAACATAGGCCATAAAAATATGATAGTGGCATGTATAAGACAAGTATCAGGAACACTGTTTTGGGGCTTATAATTCTTTTCTGGGGAGCCTTCTATCTATTCTCTGATTCTCAAAGGGTAGCCTTTCTTTCAGGGCCCAGAAGAAAGTTCACTTCATTCAGGAAGCCTTCCTTGAATACTTTATCTGCTAAGAACCATCTATCCACCCAGCACCCAGAAGGAAGCTCCCCCGCTGCCATCCCAAGCTCCTAGGGCAGAGAAGCTGAGACACATGGGTGCCAGAAGCACCCACCCTCCCCGTGGAAATGAGAAGACACATAAACAAGCCTCAAAAACAGATCACCTACAGCAAGCCCAAAGGGAAACGAGATGGAACAATCTGATACTCAACCACCTGGACTCTCTCAACTGCCAACAAATGAAGATCTGGGAAAAATGAAATCAGAAATAATTACTCAGATAACAGCAAAGATTGTGCTCATGGTGCAAGACATGATTAATAAATCTAGAGAGGACACAGATTAAAAAAATAGAGGATCTGAGGAACATGATG